AAAAAAAAATAGTCACGGATTCAAGGGAATGGACAAGTAGACTGGTTGTCAAGATCACAGAACAGCATATGGGATGGATATATTATTGTGATCATCTTTGGAAAATACAATCCAAATATAAGGCCATTTGGGGAGAATGCTAAGTAATTGATAAAGATGGAACATAGATTGTAATGAGAATGTGGAAGAAGACAACATTAAGATTTATGAAGGAGACCAATCAAGAAGTCTTTAATGTGATGCTAATGAATTTGTATTTATCCTGCAAGCAATAGGGCAATATTAGAGGAGTTGAAAATAAATTTATTATCATTTTAACATTGTAAAAGAAATACATGCCCAAGTGATAACTGTGGGTACACCCACTGTTTAGATAATTTTTTCACACTTTCTACTCTCCACAAACCTCCACCACCTCTCTCCCCATTCTCACTCTCAGCTAATGAGCTTACTCTCCTCTTTCAAAAGTAAAAGAGAAGCAATCAGAAGAGGACTTCCACATGTTTCCACCAACAAAGCTACCCACTTACCTGCGTCTGTGCACATCCTATGGATGGTCTGTCCTTATTCTTATCTCACATTAAACCCACCACTTGTGCAATAGATCCCATCTACTCTCACCTACTCACTCCAGCGATGGTTGCCCCGTCTTTCCTGCATCATCTGTTTTCCCAGCTCTACTAGATCATTCCCAACAGCATACACACATGCTGAATTTATTTCATCTGAAGAACAGATGACACACCTTTAACTATAATCCTCTTTCACTGCCCCATGTGTATCAAAACTTTTCAAAAGAGTAGTTTTCTATCTCCACTCTTTCTCATCTGTTTATTCCTGTTTAATTTGATCTAGTTTGTAACTGGATTAATTTTAGGTGTAACAGCAAACAAGGTCTCCATTGATTTCCAGTTTGCTAAATCTAATGTCAACTCTCCATCCTCATCTTACTTGACCTATCAGCAGCATTGCCACAACTGATTATGACCTTGGTCTTGAAACCCGTTGTTCACTTGGCTTCTGGGACAACACTTTTTCTTGGTTGTCTTCCTACGTACTGAGCACTCTTCATTTTTCTAATTTCTAAAAACTTGGAGCACCCCAGGTCTCAGTCCTCTGAATTTCNTTTTTTTAACTTGCCTCAGTAAATGCTTAAAATTTTTTGATAAAATTGAATTTATGTTATTTCAAAACAAGGGAAAAATTACTTTTATTTATCTCAAACTGGCATAATAATGATGAAACATTAGAGGCATTTCCATTCTTGGGGAAAAAAAGATGCCTGCTGCCACAATTAAAATTTAATGTTTGGAAGTTCCAGTCAAGCAAAAAAAAATATAAAACAGAAATAAGAGTTATGGCCATTAGATGATAATAAAATAAAATTATTTTAATTTTTAGTTTCATAATTTAATTTCCATAACTTTCCAGAGGATCAATTGAAAAGCAAGTATATTAATGAAGAATTAGAAAATGGCTGGATACAGTAATGGAAGAAATGTTTATTTTAAATACAAATGCCAACAATAACCAGTTGAAAATAGGGTTTTTAAATCACCCCACCCACAATTCCAACCCAAACCATAAAATATCTGACAATATCCTTAAACAAGAAATATACAGGACCTACATGAAGAGATAGCAGAAGGCTATGATTAAAACCAAATAATAACAGTTCGATGTGAACCTCACCTTATTCAACATAAGAGATTTCATACTGGAGAGAAACCCTAGAATATAATAAAACTGGAAACGTTTGCAGCCTTACCACACACCTTGCTAAGCTTCTAAGAATTTTTGTTGGTAGCTGACACACAAAGCAGCAAAGAAAAAAAAAAAAAAACATTGTGACTTCCTGTCAAGATGGTGGAATAGATGGTCCTCAGCGTCACTCTCTCCCACAAATCAACCAATTTACAACTATAAAAAAGCAATGACAGCCAAGCTGGGGCTGCCGGAGCTCAGGGGAAGAGGAGGAGAGACCTATGGAGTGAATGAAGGCAGGAGACGCCACAATGAGAGGAAGAAAAAACTGCTCCGAC